TCCAAAATACCGCTCAGCTACAGCATTAGTTGATAACAATAATACATACAGACTTCGTCTCCATGATATGAGAATTTTTGTGAAACAGGTCGATTTGAGCATGTCATTAAACAATGCCATTGCTAGACATCTAGAACAGTCACCTGCTAAATATGCCTATAGAAAGATTGATATTCGCAGCGTTTTCCTGGGAAAAGGTCGTCAGGAAATTACTCATGCGGCATTTACGAGTACTTGCCCGAGACGCTTAATTATTAGTTTTGTTAGCTCCCCCGCCTTTACAGGAAATACTGCTTTATCTCCATTTACTTTTGAGCATGCTAACTTACGCTCGGTTTCTGCGGAATTTGGTGGATTCCAATTTCCTGCTGTTTCGTATGATTTTGATTTTGCCGATAATAACTTCGTACGCGCCTATGTTGATATGTTTGTGGGTATGGACCTTGATAATTGGCCAAATACTGACCAGAGAACTCTTGATATCAGTATGAAGGAATTTTCAAAATCCTCGTGTTTTTTTGTTATACCGATGACTTCAACACTTGAGGATACTAATGGTCTAGAATTAATTAGACAAGGAACCACTACAGTCCGGTGTATTTTCAATCAGCCGATCAAAGACGATGGTTACGAAATGATAATTATGGGCGAGTTCGACTCAATTCTGTCCATAAATGCCGATCGAGTGTTAAGTACTGACGGATCTGTATAAGATGAATTCTCTACAAATTGAAACAATATTGCTCAACTACAAGCCGCTTAAAAATAAATTTATTGGTGTCTTCTCATCTAATAATATTCCAAATATAGAGCTGAATAAACCATTTTGTTTTATTGCTAATACTATGAGAAAAGGAACAATCGGAGAACACTGGATTGCCTGTTATTCAGATAGCAAAAATACATTGGAATATTTTGACTCGCTCGGTGATACTCCCAACTGCGACATGCGCCAATCTATGCTAAATCGCTTTTCGATAGTTAAACAAAGCCGTTATTCTCTACAATCTCCTTTATCCGATACTTGTGGGCATTACTGTATTTGTTTTCTTGTTTTACGTTCAAGCCAAGGAAGTAATTTTTCATCTACACTTCAAAAATTGCACTCAATACCTTCAGAGAGTCGAGATGCGGTTCTAAAGAGATTAGTACAGAGATTAGCTTTTCTACCTAGTATATAAGAAAACTAAAGTATTATTTGTTATATTATTTAAAAATGATATTTTTTCTATATCTAGTTGCATTAATCAGCTTGGCTGGGGCAGAAATATTGAAACAAAACGATAGTAATATACTTTACCCGTTTCACGGTCCCATCCCACCGAATGTAAATTCGTGTTTTATTATCGACGAAGCACATGCCCTTTCAATCGGCCCTTCTCATTCAACAAATCCAAACAAAGACATGCTGCTTTTGATTGCTTATGTTCTTGATTTGGGATTAATCTTTGTATTAGCAGTTGTATTTAAAGCGCATGTAAATCTGAGAAGAAATGGGAGTGGAGACCTTCCTAGTATTCGTTTTGCAAAAGGTCCACTTAGTATATAAGTAACGGATTCTAAAAACAGTCTCGAAACGCAAGATATGAACATTCGTACTAGTAACAACATGTCTGAATTGCGAGGGCCTGCCGAAATATCTTCTGGAGTTCCGCCAAAAGCACAAGTTAAAACCGGTTCACTAGTTCAATTGCTTTGTAAATTTAATGGAGGATGTGCACCAGAGTCACTTCACAGGGAAATGCGTAAAAAATATAACGAAAATATTCAATTTCTTCAAACACTTACTACTATGACAAATGAAGATGTCGCTAACACAGGAACTGGTCAAAAAACATTTTCAGACAACAATATGAAACCAGGAACGAAGGCCATCCTAACAAATCATTTAAGACATATTCAATTCGAGGTATATCCAAGTAAATTGACAAAATTAGGAGCTGATCGTATTTTTGCATTACGAGGATATTTGCGTGTGACAATCCGGCAATATTTCTATGTTCGACATCACATAGACCTTGTATATCCGCAGCTGCCTCTTGTTTGCGTTGTTGGAGGAAGACAGCATCAATATTTCTATCCTCTGGAATGTTTGGACTTTGTTGATGTTGAAGAACTAAATGAATAGGAATTTATTAAAACTATATAAATGATCATTCACATTTTTTCATAATATGAAAAATGCTTTTTATATTAATTTTAGTTGCACTAATAGAGCTTGTTAACTGTGAAGTTAAAATAACAAAAAATGAAGAGAATAAAGCTTTACGCCCTTCCTTAACTCCTCATTCAAATTTTACAAATATAACCTTACAACCGAGTGGTCATGTATGGTTTGAATACGATGAGAACGAAAAGGAGTGGAAACAAGTATACAAACCTACTTTTTCTGTAGTGTATTATAAACCAACTATATTCGATACCGCATGGTTATTTGTTAAAGAAACTTGCTATGATATTGTTGTAGCTACCAAATCCCTGGTTATCGGGGTAACAAAGCTAACATTATATTTAGGACGTAGATTAATACCTATTCCCTAATCTGTTGTAAAAACGTTAAAAATTATTTTAATCTTTTTTTAAAAATTTTTTGTATTAAAATAATTGTTTTTATAAATCGTTCTACTAGTTAAATATTTTAATTTAATAAACATTTTTAAATGTTCTTTTTTAGTATTTTTACTTTAGTAGTCTAGTAGTTAGTTAGCCATTATAGTGACCAGTTAAAACAATTTTGTTTTTAGAAATTGTTTTAACTGGCTACTATATACTACTAATGATTTTCAGAAAAAATAGCAAAATTTAAAGTGTGTCCCAGATCTTCACTATTACCGTTTTTTGTTGTTATTGATTAATATGTGTGACATTTGAAAATTGAAAAACAAACTTTTTTTTGTTAATTTTTACTCGAGATTTTATTTTTAAAAATTTTAGAGTAATCAAATGTCAAATTTATTTGTCTCTCATTGTTTTTGTTTTCGTAAATATTTTAGAAGAGATTGCAAATGTCTTGTTTTTAATTATATGGAATTTGCCAAATTTAGGTTTAATATAAAAATCTGACATTATTTGGCTATTCAAAAGTCCATAAAATTTCCCGATTTGTGTTTAGTAAAAAAATTTGAGAAATTTTTTATTTCAATTTTTAATCAGAATATTGCTTTATTTTTAAATGATTACATTCATTTGACCTCCAACTTTTAATTTTAAAAATCTTTTTTCATGAAAAATTTTATAATTCAATATTTAAAATTAGAAATTCAATTTTTCAAATTTAATCATTTCAAATTTTTTATCTTCATCATTTAAAATGCTCATTTTCATGGCCTTTCTAAATTTATATTATTTACTTGAATTTAAGATTTTTTTCAAATTTCAAGGAATATGAAAATTAACAAATTGATTGAATTTGTTAACCATATTTCGAGATTTTATATTTTCAGATGTTTTATTATTGAAAATCAAAATATTTTTAAATTTTTATTTTAAAATCTTTCCTTTCATGGACTCCTAAAGTTCACAATTTCAACTGCAATTAATTCTACAATTCACTATCTTATTATTTATTTTGTAGTTTATATTAGAGACCGAGATGAGATCTCGCCCGAAAATTTCGGTTATTGAGGTCTAGAATTTTTCGAGATCTCGATTCTCATCAGGGCTGTGCGCCAAAATTTTCGCGTGGCGCGCCAAACGCCAAACGCCAATTTTTCAAATTTTAAAAACACGCCAAACGCAAAACGCCAAAAATCGGCCAAAATTAACGCCAAAACGCCAGACGCCAAACGCCAAAATTTTTAGAGTCTATAAAGACTCAAAAACCTCTTTTCATGTCATTTTAGCGCCGCAGGCGAAATTTTTTTCATTTTCAAGATTCCCAGAAGCAAGAATTCATCCTTTTACCGCCGGATGCGAAAATTTGGAAGAGTTTTTGAAAATTTTTTGAATTAAGACCAGGAAGCAGGCCCTAGCAAATGGGGAGAATTCCTATACCCCGAAATGAGGAAAAGGAAAAATTTGGGTAGAACCCCTTGAGATTAAGGTGGATATGAGGCATAAACTGGGTAATAAGAATAACATAGGTCTTGAAGAGAGTAAATGGTTGACGGAGCTAAAGTTTTTTTCTACCATGATGGAAGTATTAGTTTAAGATAAGGGCTTCCTGCTTTAAGCGCCGCAGGCGAAAATTTTGAAAATTTTGGAAGTTCAAGCAGTAGATTTTTTCATTTTTATGCGCGGCAGGCGAAAATTTTGAGAATTTTGGAAGACTGTAAGCAGAAAAATTTCCTTTCTCGATCGTTCATTCTACCGATTATTTTAAAAAATTTCCAGCATTAGGGGTGTATATTTCTGGCGTTTGGCGCGCCAAAATCGGAAAATCACGCCAAACGCAAAACGCCAAAAATCGGCCAAAATTAACGCCAAAACGCCAAACGCCATGACGCACAGCCCTGATTCTCATACACCCAGTCCGGTCTCTGGTTTATATGTATCACAATTACAAATATTTTTGTCCTTACAATTAGATTTAATTTATTCTAGACAGTGAATTGTACATATACCTTATTTATTTTATTTCCCGTTGGCTATTTATTTATGAATATACTATCTTGTTTGATTAACTGTTCACACAATAATCCAAAAAAATTTTTCAAAAGAATTTCTTCAAAGGGTACAAATATCTACAATTTTATTTTCAAACATTTTTTTAAGTAATTTACCAAAAACTTTTTGTTATTTTCTATTTTCCTAGACAGATTTTATTGTAAAAGTATTCTTATTTTAATAGAAGCTGCTCATCCGATTTTGAAATTTACCCTCTAAACACTCAAGTATTTTCTATTTCTCTCACCTAAATTGAATATATTTTTATTTAAATTTACTCATGGGTTAAAGAATAAATTTATCTAAAAAATAAACATCTACATATTTAAATAGATTATCTAAAATAATAATCATATGATATGACTACTTTTACGATTTCCTGGCATTTATGTTCTCTAAAGATCAGTCAATGCTTCGACACCGGGAAGAATTTTGCCCTCAAGCAACTCCAAACTTGCACCTCCTCCAGTGCTCACATGGCTAAATTTTAGAAATTAATCAGATAATCTATTTAATTTTCACCAGACATACCTAACTTTATCCTCAGCTTTCCACTTCTCGCATGCAGTCGCGGTGTCACCTCCACCTTTAAATTTAGGAATTTAATTCAAAGAATTTGCCACAAACCAATAATTGTAATTGCACCAGCCTTCGTTGCTTCAATAATTGCATCCAAAAGACCTTTAGTTCCCTGATCAAAATTCGACCACTCAAAAACACCGGCCGGCCCATTCCAAAGCACAGTTTTTGCAGAAGTGATTACTTGAGCGAATTTCTTTGTGCTCTCTGGCCCAATGTCGAGTCCCTTTAAAGTAGAAAATTTGAAAAGTTTAAGTGGACTAGTTTACCATTTTTCCCTCTGGAATTCCCGATTTAGCATCAACAATTCCATGCGGAGTGTCTTCTTTAAACTCGTCGCCAAAAACAAAATCAACCGGTAAATGCATGTTCACATTACGTTCCTTAGCCTTTGCCATTAGATCACCCACAATTTTAGCGCCCTAAACTCTTTTAAATTTAAAATTTAGAATCAAACCAAATTTAAACTCACTTCCTCATCAAACAAAGATTTACCAATCTCCATCCCATTCAGCACCTTCAAAAATGTAAAGGCCATTCCTCCACAAATGCACATCTCCTGCACTTTGTCCAACAGATTGTTGATCAATTGGATTTTATCCGCGACTTTGGCCCCACCAAGGATAGCAAGGAACGGTTTTTGTGGTTGATCAAGTGCTTTTGCAAAGTATTCCAATTCTTTTTTCATCAGAAATCCAGAAACGCGAGGATTGATCGAACAGCCAACCATTGAACTAAAATAAATTTTGATTAAATAAAACTATTAAAGACGACCTATGAGCTCTATGTGCGGTTCCAAAAGCATCATTCACATAAATGTCGCCATGCTTTGAGAGCGATGCACGAAACGCCTCTACAGCTTCTTTGGTTGCCTTCACCTATAAATTCTAAATAAAAAACATTTTCGCTTAAAAAACCGATTCTCCCGCTGCATTTTTTCCTTTTCCTTCTTCCTCGACATGAAAACGCAAATTCTCCAAAAGAATGATCGTTCCAGTATCCGGATTTGCTGTTTGAGCCTCAACTTCGGCACCAACGCAGTCATTGAGGAATTTAACGGATCTAAAAATTTAATTGTATTTAATCAACAAAATATTTAAACCTGCCCAACAACTTCTCCACTTCTGTGTGGACTGGCTTTAACGAATACTTTTCTTGACGCATTCCATCCGGTCGACCCAAATGACTCATCAGAACAATTGATTTAGCCTCATTGTTAATTGCATACTTAAATGAAAAGAAAATAACCCAAAATGTACAATTCAATCAAATAACCTGAATTGTAGGCAAAGCTGACACAATACGCAAATTGTTGGCCACCTTTCCATCCTTTATTGGAACGTTGAAATCTACGCGCATTAAGACACGTTTGCCTCCGATAGCGGTTTGGTCAATCGCTAATTTCTTGAAGCTGGACATAATTAACTCTAAAACTTAAGCAAAATAAAGAGAAAAATAAGGAAAAATCTAAAGATTAACGAAAAGAGAATAAATAAATGTCAGAATAAACTTTGACTTTTATCTATTCACATCATTATTGCTAAAAATGTAATTCAAGTCGAATGGTTATTTACTCTCCTTATTTTACATTTTCTTTCGTGCGCCTAACTTTTTTTTGTGAGAAAATTTCCTATAGATTTTTTGAAGGAATGCTTTAGTTGACGTATTGTTTTTGATTAGTGCCCAGCACCGGACCGGATCCGGCCGGATTTTTCCGGAGACCGGGTCCCAAATCCGGGTTTTTTTTAAATTTCCGGATTAAAACCGGACCGGATTAATCCGGAGAAATCCGGCCGGATCCGGTCCGGCTCTAGTTGCAAATCCGGAATCCGGGTCCGGCAAAATCGATTTTGCCGGGCACTATTTGATCCTTTTTAAGCTAATGTCGTAAAATGAAATTTCTGTCAAATATGTAGTTGCGGGAATGGTGGAAACCATTTTTTGTTGCATAAATTTATTAAATCTTTTTAGTTTTTCAAAATAATGGAGGAGGAAGAGACTCTATCTGATGAGTTTGAGATTAAAAATCTTCAAGAACAACAAAATTCTTTAGTAATTGCGGATGAGAGTTCTCAAGACAACATTATTTCAGAGGATTTTAATAATACGAATTTGGAAAAGGAACATACGGTTTATTTTTTTAATTTTGTAAAATCACGAGAATGTGGGGAATTTTGGAGTCTTTTGTTTCCTCCTCTTTATTTATTCCCAAATTTTTGCTTATTAGATAATTGTCAATTAAATTATATTTTTGTAGCAAATCAACAATGGATTAAATCAAATGGATCAACCCACAACTTCTATTCGGAACGAAGAAGGAAATGCTACAACATCTATAGATATAATTGGTTGTGCACCTCTCCAAACATTAGCTAGTGGACTAGCATTTGCCAGAATTGCTGACCTTTCTGTTCAAAAAGATGAACATGTTCTTCGATGTCATGGCTTCAAATCTATTTTTATTCCATGTGAAAGACTTGAAACTGTTTATCAAAGAGATAGAAAATATATACAATTGAGGCAAATAAAAGAAGTAAAGGAAAAAAAGGTGGCAAAAAAAGAACGAAGACGAAAAAATAAGGAAGCTTATCGAGATGATTCTGATAGAGATGAGCGGGAGAAGAAAAGTATGTATATTGTTTAATTGGGCATTTAGGGAAATACTATTTGTATTTATAATCCAACGGGTAAGCTGATGGGACGGGAAAGGGTAATTATAAGAAATTTTTTGCTATCCTTCATTTGACTAAATTTGGAGGAAAATTATTAATTTTTTCTCCGTTTTCTTACTAATCTCGGGAAAGAGTACCAGTTTATAATTTTTTGTAGAGTACTGGAATTTCCCTTACAAAAATTTTTCGTTCACATTTTTGACTGGTGCATTTATCTAAAATTCAATTAAAATTGTTTACTTCAATTTAGAGCGTAAAAAAGAAAAACATTCTTCTGACCAGAAAAGAAAATATTCTCCTCCAAATATTTATGCCGGGAGAGATGAAGTGGCTAGAAGTCTACAAAAACATAATTTTGCGGCAATTGTTCAGTGTTGTGTTTGTGAGTCGGTAGTTGACAAAGAAAGGTTTGGCGGTCGGGATACTTTGTTTTGTTCACAGAAATGTATTTCTAAAAAGGCAGAAGATGCAAGAAAGGTGTGTTTAAATTAGGTATATTTGATCGAATGGGTTCCTTTTATTTTTAACGGGTGATCTTTATATTGTAATAGAAAAAGTATAACTTAATTCAACCAAAATTAATCCGATTAGGGCGATTTCTGACATTTTATTTTCTAGTGTGTAAAAGAAGGTGAACGCATTCTTGTTATCGACCACAAAGGAGCAATGATGAACCACAGCCATTTAAATCCAACAATTGAAACTTTGGAAGATTTTCTTCTTGCAAATCCTTCTTATCAACCAGTTTTAGCTTCCGAACAAATTGGTAATAATTTTAGTCTAACGAAGGATTTTTTCCTTCATATTTTTAGTTTCGAATTGGGGGGGGGGGTCACCCTTTTCATTTAAAGCAGGTCCGTAGCTGGGGGGGGGGATTCCCCCCCCCCCCCCGAAATGGGGAAAAGGGAAAAATTTGGGGAAGGGCTGGGGCAAAAAAAGTTAATTTTTTGGCCTACGGCCTTCGAAATTTTCAAAATTTTCGCCTGCGGCGCTGAAAATAAAAATTTTTCCCCCCTTGGCCCCCCCCCCCCGAAAAAAAATCCTGGCTACGGGCCTGATTTAAAGTATTGGTAATTTTTGAAATTTTAGGAATACAGATTTGAACTTTTGTTAGTGTTTGTGATGTTTCTTTCACTAAATGCAAAAATATTTTCGCATTTCCTAGATATATTTACAGGAACATAATCCCGCTATAACAAAATTATATAATAAATATTAAAAATCAACAAAATATGTTAACGATCTAAAATATAAGTTTTTTTATAGTCGTGCCTTTCTTATTAATATTAGTGAAGTAGATACTTAAATAGATAAAATTCAACACAAAGTAATAAAATCGTTAAGAATAAAAAATGTTTATTTAACCTCATGGGAGTTAATTTATTTTGTTTGATAATAAAATTTAATTTTTTAGTCGAGACAAATCATCGTCTACACGATCCTGCATATCAAAAGAAAATAGAATCAATGAGAGTTGATGTAAGAAAAGCTATTGAAACCAATCTTCAGAAAAGATCAAAATCGGCAAATATGATTTTCTCACTTAAACGTTACAAAGATTTGGGTATGGAAATTGAACGTTCACTTTTTTCGATTCATCAAGATGTTAATTTGGGATATCGCAAATGGTTCAAAAGCTTCATTACTGTTGTTAACGATGAGATGAATGTTAGTTTATTTTTATTTTATCTCACATCAGTCAGATATATATTATCATGCACGGGATCCTACTTAACTAACAATGAGAAGACACTCAATTTCAACACTTGTGAAGATTTGACACTTGAATTTTTTGCGGATTAACGTACAAATAAAAATATTATTTTGATACTGCACTTGAATTATTTAAAAAAAGTGCAAAAAATGATTCTGAATTTTGTTTTTCAGGGTTTCTTCCGCGATGTTCTCAGAGATAAAGTTTCAGTCAAAAAATTGGTAACACTGTCGATTGATCAGATGAGTGTACCATTGCCTCAGAATGAAGCGAATACTTTATTTTTTGCTGGTCATGCTCCTTCAACGTCTAGTAATTTTATAGTTGCGGCTGCCGATTCAACATCAATCTCTGAAACACCTGAAGGTTTTTTTGAGATTTAATATTAAAAACTTTTCTTTATCGCGATACAACTTTAATATAAAAAATTACTCTTCATCTTTCATTTATTTTAGAGAATGTTTATAATGAACCATGTACTTCTGTTAGCAAGACTACTCAAATTCGCAAAAAAATTATCACAACAGCAAGTCGACACAATATGGTTAAAAAAGCACCGTTACAGGCAAAGGTGAATTTTGAATTAAAATTTTAACTAGTCAATAATATATAAAGGGTTTAAAAATCAAAAAAAAGTTGCGAATAAACTTTTGCGGACTAGTGGGGAGACCCAAAAAAATATATTGAAAATTTATATTCAAAAACATTTTTTTAAGATTTAAAAAATTTAAAAAATAAAAAATTTATTAATTTTTTCAAGTCCACACTTGATGACATTTTGGGTGATTTGAATAAAGATACAACACATCTACACAATAGTCACTTATACGATGCAAACTGTGGTATATGTAAACAAATGAATTTGAAGAAATTTGCTGAAAAAGAAAGACAGGAACGTTTAGAAGCAGAGCTTGAACAAAGAGTTGAAATTTTTTGGATAACTTAAATATTTTTTTATTTTTTACAGAGAAGGGCTGAAGAAGTAATTAGTGGACAAGTAAATTTCCCTGATTTGGATCCTTCAATCCAAGCTGCAATGTTGGAAGTTAGGGCTGATGAAACAGCCTCGAATGGATGGGATATTCTGAAGCAAAGGAGAAGTGGACAATTTGATATGGTTAGTTTTATACTAAAATAGTCTAGTTAGTTTGTACTAGAATACATATATTGATGCATTTTGTGAAAGTAACAGATTGGGTTTTTATTATCAACTCGTTTTTAACATACCTTCTCAAAAGAATTACTGTTAACATAACCTAAAAAATTATTTTCAAAATTGGAGATTTTATTCTTCAGAATTAATCCTTTTGTGTGTATAAAAATATGACCTGCAGATAAAAATTGAGGACATCGTTAACTTATTTTTGATTACCTAAATTTTCAGTTGGAATGCTCTGCCTCATCACCAACTATTAATAACGATAACAACAACATATTATTAGACGGAGATGTAATTTTTGGTCGTTGCGATAACCCATTCGATCAGGAACGTCATCTACGTGACCCTTTAGGCCTAGAATTAGTTGACGCACTTCCTCCAGAACAAATTTGTGAAAATAATCATGAAGATGACAATATGTCTTTCGAAGGAGGGGAGAATGATTATGGAAATGATGATGCTTTCAATGGCGGTTTTAATAATTATGCCCCTGAAATATCATCACAATTGGCCCCTGAAGTGCAAGATACAAACGTTGATGTGAGTTTTTTTTTAATTAAAAATTTTGGATTTTATTTAAGCAAAAAAAAGTTAATTTCTTTTCTTGCCAATTGCCAGAAAAACGATTTTTGTACCTCCCGACTCGAAAATGAAAAATTCATTGCAAATAGAGGCGTCCACATTTGTTTATTTTTCTAATTATTTTTAGTTTCGTTCAACTCAAAATGATTACCACCAATTCAATCAAAGTGAAAAGCCGAGAGAAGATGAAGTTTCATGCATTTCTCCATTTGAACAGATAAACAATAATATAGAAATGACAATTGAAAATAATGAGAATTGGAATTCCTTTAATGGATCAATGCTTCATCCTATTAATGGTCAAATGATAATTGACGAGCAAGAATTCAATCGAGGAAAAAGGTTATCTTTTAAAAGTTGTTACAGGCTGATTTTTTCTTTGACATCTATTTTCTAAATTTTTACCCATTACTATATAATTTACAATAGGTTCAACAATCAAATCTGGAAAGGGAAATTTATTTGGACTAACTTGGCCTCTTTCGATTGTACTTTATCTGCAATCAGCAATAAAGGGGCTTTCAAAGTTGGTCGTGAATTACCTCCAGTTCTCCATGTAATGGGTCGATCAGAAGCTATTGGTGTTTGGAAATATATCGATCGGTTAAAAGACAGTTGGGACAAACAAATTATTCTTTTATTGGTTGAACTTCCGAAAGGTTTATTTTTATTCATTTTCAAAATTTTTTGTTGTAGATTATCAGTATGAGTTTTATACGCGTTTTTACGAAAAAGTCAATTATGACAACAAACAAATTATTGTTTTGGATTTAACTGGCCATGACCGAATAAAGGATGGATATATTTTTACTCTTGCACCTGGGAAGCCGTTACCAAGTAATTTAATATAAATTTAAAACTTTCTGAATATTTATCAAATCAAAAAAATTCAGGTATTCTTTTTCCTTTTGATGGACCTGGGTTGCCGGAATGGTGTGGACGTAGAGGTTGCATGATTATTATGCTTGTACGTTATTTTAAATATACACTCTTTTTAATAATTATGATAGAATAGTTATTGTTTTTTAATTCTAAAATAATATCATAAACATTGCTTAATTTTAAAGGTTCGTCGAATGGATCGTGAGGATAAACTCCTGCTTAAACGACTAGATGAAAATTGTCGTCCACCTACATTACAACCTCGCAATATCCCAACAGAACGTGTTGATTTACTTTCTTCGCCTGCTGAACGTCAACAACAATCACGTTTACTCGATCCCAGGTTAGACAAAAATTTGACTCGTCATTCGAAATGTTATCGCCCGCATCATTTATTCCGTGAAATGCCCCATTTATTTGATGATATAATTGCCCAATTTAGTAGTGGGGATGAGGAAGGGCTGGAGGAAGGAGAATTATTGCAATAAAGTTTAATCTCCTGTTGCTTTTAATTATGATTTTTTGAAATATAATGGAATTTCTTACAAAGTTTTTAATTATCCCATTATTATTCTTTTCTTAATTTATTCTTATTTATTTTAATTTATAGTAGATTTTTTATGTTCAAATATTTTCTTATTATTCATATAGCCTTAATTTAGTTATTTCTATAGCCCAGGGATCGTGCCTACATTAGCTCAATCTCCCCCGGCGCGATCCTTGATAGAGCCTTAATTTATTGTTATGTTTTTTCATAGTTTATACATAGTTTAAATATCTCTATACTTATTCCATATCAGAGGTGGGTCAGGTGGGTTCTCTTTTGCCTCCAGCATTTTGGCAAGTTTGTTTCCCAACATCTACAGCTTATCCACCTCTGTTTTCACATGGAATAAATTTTGACAATCAATACTACATAAATATTAGAGTTTCACCGGAAGTTCCGGTTCCGGTTCCGGTTCCGGAAAGTTCCGGTGTTTTTTTGGTTCCGGTTCCGGTTCCGGGAACCGGAACCCATATTGGATCCGGTTCCGGCTCCGGTTTTCAAATCGGTTCCGGGCAAACCGGAACTTTTTTACACCCCTAAAGATTGATTTTTTTTAAAAAATATTAATAAACTACTCGTACTCTCATACTTGTAATAAAAAAAAATCGAAAGAAATATGTTTATTTTCTTTCAATATCATTCTGATGAGCGGGTGTCCGAGTGGTTAAGGGTTTAGGCTTCACTCAAGGCGTTAGTGATTTTAAGTTGGGTTCGCTTCCCGATCGTAGGACAATAACTCTTAAAATTTTTTTTTCAACAAATAACTCATTTATTGAGTTTAATTTTGTTTTAAAAATCATTATATTTTTACATGGAGTAATTACGGTTTTTTGGCCCTCTAAAATTCTTAAAATTTTTCGTATGACTAATAAATGATGAATTCTGCGGCGCTGAAAAAGATAGCTGAATGGTATAACGGATGATTTGGATGGATCAATGTGGATTTTGAATTATATAGTGTGACATCAATGGGCCTAATATTCTTCTTTACTTCCTTATCCCCATAAAACGTATATCGCTCCTTCTTCCACTGATATCCCTTAAACCCCCTTACAATTCTGAATCCTTATATCGTCCGATATCAAACACTTATACCACCAAATCCTTTCATACACCACTCTCTAACCCAAATATATCACTTATCGTCGACGATTTTCGGTTCGGTTTTGGTTAATCAAAAGTCTCGGTTCGGTTCGGTTTCGGTTAACCGAAGAAGTTGGTGAACAGTCAACTCTACTTAAACTACAAATTTTTTAAAATTTGCTAGCAAAAATTTTTTAAAAGTTCCGGTTCCGGTTCCGGTTCCGGGCCGGAACTTTGAAAAGTTCCGGTTCCGGTTCCGGAAACCGGAACTCAAATTGGATCCGGTTCCGGTTCCGGTTCCGGTCAAAATTTTGGTTCCGGTGAAACACTAATAAATATAACAGTAAATAAAATTAAATAAATTTATCTCTTTATTAAGAACTTTTCTTTCAATGCCAGTTATGAAATCTTGCCTAATATAATTTTTTCTGATACTCGTTGTTAATAAGTTACTATATTTTAAACTTTATCCCAGTTATAAATTTATTATTATAAAATTCTTTTGGCTATGTTCTTAACACAGTCAAAGGCATTTTGTTTTCAGGTTTGAAGTTTATTCATAAAGATGGAAAGATTAAATTATTTGTTTCAATTGTTTGAATATTTAAAATTATATTTTTACGTGCCATATCAATCGAAATAAAGTTTATTTATAAATATTCATTTTTATTTTTTTGTTATTTTCATTAAATATTTTTGTTTTCTGTGGTGGTAAGAGCCTTGTGATTTTCAAGATACCGAAAAATATATAGGTAATTTATCAATATTGTGGCAATCATTTTTCGCCGTTGCAGTGCATATTGCGGTGCATATTTTTATTACTAAATTATTTAATCTTAATTTATAACCAGTATTAAAATTAAGACGTTTTAAATTTTTATAAAATATTACTTATCTCCGTTTGATTTTTTTGGTCCAGCCTTATTTTTATCTTGCTCTTATTTTCTCACCATTATTACTTTTTAGAGTACAGACTGGTTTTAATTAAATGATGTAAAGGGTTAACCAATAACATATTATTAGTTCAATGTCCATTATCAGCTGTTGAGTTTTTATTTTGGACGGAAAGGGTTTTACATTTCAGAATTATTTTTTCCAATTTTTTACTTAATATTTGATTAAAAATCAGACGGGGCTTAAGTCCATTTGGTCATCAAAATTTTAAACGGATTTTTTAAAATAATGGACCAATTATTTTCCAAAATTTTTCCCTTTTCTATAAATATTTCTGGTCATTTAGGGTTACGAAGAAAAATGGATTTGAATAACTTTACGGCCTCAGCTTCATATTCTTCATTTTGGTCAATATTCAGTCAATACTCCCATTCTGCATTTGGAAAAGTTTTTATTTTTTTTATTTAAATTTATTTTAATTTTTTTAATAAAGTTCTTTTCTCTTTTTGACGAAAATTGGATTAAAGGCCGTCCTTGTAGTTATGGAATTACTATTCAAACAAAAAATGGTCCAATCATTGGTAAAACTTTCACGTTGCCCCCCGATGGGAAGAAGGTTAATGCTTTTCTTGGCATTCCCTATGCAGTTGCTGGAACTTTTAAACAACGATTTAAGGTATCCCTCGACAATTTTCCCCAAACATTTCTTTTTTATAGAAGCCTTTTCCCATCACAAAATGGAAGGAGCCTTTATTGTGTACTAAATTTGGTCCAAGATCTGTACAACATGTTAGTTTTTAGCAATTTTATATTTTTTATAAAATTTATAGGATCTCGTTTGGGATGCTTATTTAACTCCACAACCTCAAGATGAGGCAAAATGCCTTAATCTTTGTGTTTTTGCTCCTGATTGGGAATCTACAGAATTTCCAAAAGGCAAACGTCCAGTTATGGTTTTTGTACACGGAGGAGGTTTTATTATTCACAGTGCAGCTAATTATGGGGATTGGAATATTTGCCAGTTTGTTTTTCTTTTTAAATTTATTAAATGTTTTTAAAAAAAGAAATCTTTGTTTGTTGGATGTAATTGTTTGTACAGTTCAATATCGACTTGGAATGCTTGGTTTTTTTTCTACTGGAGATGATCGATGCCCTGGAAACTTTGGCCTTTGGGATCAATTGACGGCATTTAAATGGGTGAAAGTATGTAGGGGGTTTGTTAGTTTAAAATAAAAAATATTTAAGGAGAATATTGCCTCCTTTGGCGGAGACCCGGATAATATTACTGCCTTTGGACAAAGTGCTGGCGCAGCTTCTATCGATCTTTTAAGCCTTTCGCCACTATCTGATGGTATTTTTTTCATTTCTTTTCCTCCAATTTATTTAATTAAAGGCCTTTTTAAACGTATAATTTTAATGGGAGGAAATGCTAGCACTGACTGGGCAGTTGTTCGACCAAGAAAAACTATTGCTGCAGCTTTAAAAATTGCAAGAGGACTAAATTGGAAAGGTTTTCTAAAATTATTTTTTGTATTTCCATTAATTAATAATTTGAAATTTTTTTAATATTGTCGCTTTTGAAATTATCAATATTTATAAATCATTTTACAGGCGAAGATTCAGATTTAGACTCTTTATTAGCCTTCCTACATGAATTGCCTGCTCATGAATTGAGTGCACCTCTAATTGGAAAATCAGCATTTAATAGACATAAAAAAGGTTAAAATTTCTAATTTTTTTTAGATTTCCCCAAAAATTTTATAGGTCTTGATTACTGCCCTGTCATTGATGGAGAATTAATTACAGCGCCAGTTTCAGAATTAAGGACAAAAAGATTTGCCTCAAAAGACCGGCCTCCATTAGAAGTAATTATTGGCGCTACTGAATTTGAGGCTTTACTTTTTGGTACTTTTTTCAAAATTATTTTTAATTAAACTTTTTTTTAAAGCTGCCTTAGGTCGTCGTCAATCAGACATTGTTTCTCTACGCAAATATTTACAAATTCATATTCCAGAAGAAATTCCAAATTTTGACGAAAAACGTGGACGGTGTGAAAGGCTTTATTTGGATGGAATTAATATTAAAAATTCTTCTCAAGTGTCTACAGCATTTTTACGGTTTAATTTTATTTCATAGAAAATTTAAATAAAAATTATTTTTAAAGCCTCCATAGTGATGTAATGATTAATAATTCTGTGCAGCGCTATTGTAAAGGAATGTTGCCTTCTGAAACCTCAATTTCAAATAAAACGAAAATTTTTCTTTATAATATGTCTCATTTTAATTCGAATGAATTTGGTTTTGTTGGGTTACGAATGCCTTTTTATGCAGCTACACATTGTCATGATTTGCGTTATTTAGTTGGAAAGGTATTATAATATTTTTTATTTAACCCCCTCTTCCTATTTTGTCTCTTTGAATTTTTACATATATATTTTAAATTCTTAGGGTCTATATTCCAAATTTCGGCCAAATATTGATGACAAACAAGTAATGCTCATTATTGGCACTTTATTTACCAATTTTGTAAAGTATGGAAATCCAAACAGCCATTGGAGGAAATTAGAAGAGAGTGAAAATTCTAAAGATAGAAAGAATGGATATATAAACAAAGAAATCGATAATTCTTGTTGTGAACCTTGGAATCCATCTGGCATGCCTGGAGATGAAAACTCAAAATTTGTCGATGGTAAATTTTTTTAGGGATAAGACGGGGGAAAAATGTTTTATCTAACCTTCTTAAGTAGAATTGTGGGATTCTTAATAGAAAAATTGTTTTCAACAACATTAAAGTCGAAGTTCTCTCATTCAAACTCATTTTTTCAATTTTAGCAAACAAAATCCATACAAATTTTGATGAAAACGGCAATAATTTAACCTCTAACAATTTCTGGCTTCCAATTACCCCAAATAATACTTATCAACATTTTGAATTATGTCTAGAACCAAAAATGCTTCCACGATATCAGGATGGTCGCTACGAGTTTTGGTTTAATGAAGTAGATGCTTTTAATAATTCTTTGATTAACACTAATCCAGCTGTTTCTTCTTCATAATTATTCGGGCAATTTTATTCAAATATTTTTGATAATAATTTATTGCTCTAATGTCAAATCACCGCCATATTTAAAATTTATTTTATGGATTATTTCCCCCTCTCCAATATTTTTTATGTATTCTAATTATTTAATTAAATTTAAAAAATAATTTCCTTTCCTTTTTTCCCAATTAAAATTGTCTCAAAATAACCTCTTTAATTAGTTGTGCTTTCAATAATTTAATTTTAGTTTTATTAAAGTTTAATATTTATTGTGTTTAAATTTATAAATTTTTAGTAATTTTTCTTGTTAATTTATTTAAGGATTATATTCAATAATTATATTTTTCCAAAATTTTAATTTTGAAAAAAAAATTTTTTCGAATCTCTAATTAATTAATTTATTTGTGCAAAACTTTTATTTGTGGTTCAAGCTCAGCACAGATTTGTTCAATAATATCCAGCCTTTGACAAATTGGGTTTTGTTTCATATGCAATTGTTTTAGTGTTGATAACGAAGAACGTAACGGTAAGTGATTGATTTCTAAATTTTAAAAATTTAAAGCAGAAATTTGAAAAATAATTTAATCGCTTTTTGATTTCTTGCTAATTTCTTTTCCAATTCTAATTTGTCTCAGAATAACCTCTAAGTCTTAATTTTTAACAAAAAATATTTTTCTTTACCATTTATTAAATTTCCACTAATATCCAAAATTGTCAATTTTTTGCATTCAAACAATTGTTCTGGAAATTGAGTGAATTTATTTCTAGCAATATTTATCCCTCTTAATTTTGTCCATCTTGATATTTCTGTGGGTAATTCTGTTATTTGATTACCCTCTAAATTAAAAACTAAAAGAAAATTTTTCTTTTCATTAAAATTTTTATTTCTTTACCATCCATATTTGGAAAATTTGCAATCATTTTTAATGGAAATTTCTTTAATTTATTATTTTTTAAACTACATCTATTAATTTCATAACCACTCAATACCATATATAAAGCATCAGCAATATACATTAATTCAGTCTGACAAATCTTTAAAAGAAAATTTTCTTTTAGAATAAAAATATTTTTACCTAAAAATCCTGTCGATTTTGCATCCTCACAACGATTCATTACTTGACTAACACCTCTAGCAGCTGATAGAAGAGACATTTTAAAGTATTTTTAAAAGTCTACTTTTAAATGTCAAAAAATAATTTTGAAATAAAATTGGGAAGAAAATTACACCCACAGAGGCAAGAATATCTCCTTATCTTCTTAAATTTTTCATAAAAAGCTTTGAGGATCTGAATTTCTGTCTGAATTTTCCGTCGAAAGAAAAATTCTTTTAAACTAAAATTATTTTCTCTCTCGGATTTTTACATCCATTCCTTTACCTTTGATTTACTCCTCAATATTTTCCTAAGCGGATCTTCTTTGACTAAAAGAATTTACTTTTCCCTTTTATTTTCTTAAGACGATATTGATTTAAGAGAAAATTACTTTGTCCATCTCAATTTTAACATTTCTTGAAAGATTAACGCACTTTAGATTTAAGAAATAAAACACAGGTGTTCATTTTACTTTTTATTCTTTTCATTTTAATTTTTTTAACTTAAAAATATTTTTTAAAAATTTTTTAAGGGATCCATTTACTTTATAAATATTTTTTAATTTTTTTATAAATTTATTTTAAAAATATTGATTCCACATTTTTAAACGTTAACAAAACTAAAAACAAAAATTAATGATTAAAGGGCTATTTAAAAATTCTTTTGAATGACTCATTCATTTGAATCGTTTTAAATTCTTTTTTTCTTTTCATGTAAAGAAAAATTTTTTTATAAAATTTTGTAATAAAAATTATTTTTTTAAGAGAAAATCCCAAAAATTAAATAAAAATGAGTGCAGATTTGAATAAATTGGAAGGTCTTGTTGGTCGTCTAGAAATGGCCGTTCAACGTCAAGAAGCATTGTATAATAAGCCAGGATTGTCTCCAAAACCAACTTCTATCCCTCCTCCTGCTGGTGGAAGTAAATTTAAAAAAATTTAAGAAATCTTTTAAATTATCTTATCAGATGGTTCAATTCCTCCTTCAATTAAAGCTTATGATGATTCAGTAAATAATGCTTTAAAGGCTTTTGTGGCTGTCTCAAAGAAAATTGGTGGACCTATTGGACAAATGGTTTTGAAATTTATTTAAGAATATTTGGGAAAGTTTAAAAATTTATTTTTAGGCAGATAAAGTTTCCGTTGCTTTCGATTCCCAACGCCGTGCAATTTGGGAAGGTATTGGCCGTCCAGAGCCAAATGATAACCAAAAACAGCAATTGCTTCAACCAGTTGTTGAACAAGTTGGAATTGTTTGTGCATTTAAAGAACAAAATAAAACAAATAAATCTGTATTCAATCATTTGGCTGCTGTTTCTGAAGGTCTTTCGGCACTTGGATGGTTGGGAGTTGTTAAGTTTTTATTTTTTACTCACATTTTTAAATCAAAATTCTTTAATGATAATTATGTATAATTTTTGATAATTTATTTTTGGGTTTTAATTCTTCAATTTTCTGGTATATAGTTGGACCTTGAGTAAATACACCCTTGGTATTGAAATATCTTATAATGAATTGGATTTTAAATATGAGGTAAGGAAATCCTCCTTACAATCAAATTGACCAATTTAAAAATTTATTTTCAATAGAAATATAGGTAAAATTGAATTTCGTATACCCCCTCCTTTTTCCAGCCTCAAAATATTTAAAAATGGTCATTCTGTTAAAAGAATGTAGAACTCTTCGAGTTGTGTCGAACGACACCAAAATTAACGCCCGGTCTTAACTTTGGGCCGAGATACAGACCCCCGAAAATTGAAAAATAACAGGGTGGACCAAGCTCATTTTTTGGTCTAAAAATTCGATTAAACAAATAATAGCTCATTCGAAAGAGCTTGTCGAGCTAATTCGAATGACATCAAAATCAACGAAATCCGACTTGATTGGACAAAGTTATGACATAAAGTAATCCTTTTACGTCGGCGAAATGCTTGTGCAAAACCCTTCTCTTTGCGCAGGGTTTTAGTCTGTATCTCGGCCCAAAGTTAAGACCGGGGGTTGATTTTGGTGTCATCGACACAGCTCGACAAGTTCTATAATCTGATAACAGACTGACCATTTTTAAACATTTTGAAGTAAGAAAAAGGAGGGGGTATACGAAATTCAATTTTACCGAAATATATTTGGTGTTTTATAATCGATGTTCGACTGTTATATATTACTCATTTAAACTTTTCTCCAAAATATTAATTAATTATTTTTAAATTAGAAACCAACACCCGGTCCGTATGTCAAAGAAATGTTTGATGTTGCAATGTTTTATGTTAATCGTGTTCGATCTGAGAATAAAGGAGACAATAATCACTCAGAATGGGCTAAAAGTTGGTGTGATGTGTTTTTTGCTTTACAGGGGTATATTAAACAATGGCATACTACAGGGTTGTCTTGGAATTCTGCACCTGTTTGTTAAATTTAAATAAATTTAGAAATATTTATTTTTAAGGGTTCTCAACCTTCTGGGACTACACCAAAAAGCGGTGGAGGTGCTCCTCCTCCCCCGCCACCGCCTTCTAATGGTAATTAAACTTCTTAACTTTTTTTAATAATAAAGTTGGACGAATATTTTTTATTTTAAAAATCAAAATTTTCAAAGATTTACTTACACAAATGGCTAGCAAACAAAGTGGCGGTGGGGGTAAAGATCAAGGAAGACAAGCACTTTTTGCCGAATTAAATAAAGGGGATGCTATAACTTCTGGATTAAAAAAAGTTACTGCAGACATGCAAACACACAAAAATCCCCAACTTAGAACTCAAGTAAAATCGAAATTTTTAATAAATTTCTAAAAATTTATTTTTTAAAGTCAACAGTTCCAGCTGATAAAGGAAAATCTCCACAAAAAAGTGTTTCTCCGTCTGGAAAGGCTGGAATTGAAAAACCTCCAAAAATAGAATTGAAAAATCAAAAAGTTTGGGAAATTGTGAGTTTTGGTTGTTGGTTTTTATTAGAATATTTTACTTTTTCCTGGGTGATTCTCTAATTTTTTTAAAAATAAATGGATGACTTTTTTAAGTTGGGGCTTGTCTTTTTGGGATACACTAGTTAATGAGATTGACTAGAGCTTTTAATTTTTCATTATTAACTAAGGTTGTCGGATCCGGATATCCAAATTCGAAAAATATGGTTCGGATACCGGATCCGGATATCCGAGGATTTCCAACTACCCGACAACCTTTACATACACTAGAACAAATTATTAAACAAAAAGTGTTGACCATTTGCTTCTAAAACCAACAAATTAAAAAAAATATTTGTTAAAGTTTATATTATAATTTATAGGAATACCACAAAGATAATCGTCAAATCCAAATACAAGCTGATTTAAAACACGTAAATACTTAAAAGTAATTCTTAACATTATTCTTTTTTTAAAGTCAGTTTATATATTTCGTTGTGAGAATAGTGTTATTCAAATAAAGGGAAAGGCTAATTCTGTAACTGTTGATTCTTGTAAGAAAACTAGTGTAGTTTTTGATGCCCTTCTTTCTCAAGTGGAAGTTATTAATTGTCAAAGTATTGAATTACAGGTAAAAGGGAATTGAAAGTCCTTTTTTAAATTTTTTTTGAATATTCTCTTCCTCTGATTAATTAAAAACCAAAATTTTCGAGGAAACCTTCTTTTAGTGAAATATATTTTTATTAGGGTTGGGGTTTTCGAGTCTGGCTGCATTTTTCAAGTCATTTTTTCGGGCCTTATTTTTATCGGACCGGCCCGACCGAGCCTTTTTCGGGCCAAAATTCGATGCCCGACTCGATCTTTCGAACCGGCCCCTAACCCTGCTTTTATCAAAAAAAATTTTCCCCTTTCTAGACATTAGGTTCTTTACCAACAATTTCAATTCAAAAAACGGATGGTTGTCAAGTTTACTTAAGCAAAGAATCTTTGAATGCAGAAATTGTAACTAGTAAATCAAGTGAAATGAATATATTAGTGCCTAAAGGAGCTGATGGAGATTTTGTAAAAATAAAAAAATAATTTAAATAAATTCTTTATTTAAATTTTAGACAGAATTTCCTGTGCCAGAACAATTCAAGACAACTTATAATGTTAAAGAAAATAAATTACAAACTCAAGTATCGGATATTGTTTAATTTTTATGACAAAAATGGCTTATTTTCTCTCTCAAGCATACTTTAAATTTAGCTTTTGATTATTTTTATTTCTATCTTTAAAATGCCTTTTTTTAAATAATTTTCTGTAAACAGAAATTTTGATAAATTCGAATAAATACACCTTTAAAAAATTGACCCTTAATTTCACCTATTTATACTTTTACAAATTAAAATACACAACATTCGATTATGCTACGCTTACATAAAAAACGCGCGCGTCTTGCGGCAGAAAAGATAATGGGAAATGAGGAGAGTAAAAGACGCCGGCGTCTTGCCGCTTTTTTTGAGTGCTTACATAAACTGCGTCTTTCGCCGGCGTCAAGACGCCGGCGTCTTGACGCTTTTTTTGCGTGCTTACATAACTCGCGTCTTCCGCCGGCGTCTTGACGCCGGCGTCTTGCCGCTTTTTTTGAGTGCTTACATAAACTGCGTCTTCCGCCGGCGTCTTGACGCCGGCGTCTCTTTTTTTAATTCAAACATGTTTGAATTTTTTGCGGCAACTTTTAGCGTCTTGATCATTTCTCGGCCAATTCTAATCCGATTTTCAAAATTTAAAAAGATTTTGAAAATTCAATTCATTCTCTATCGATCAATATAAATTTTATATTTTTAAAGTTAAATCTTATGGGTTAAAATTGATTTTGAAAAACGTATACTTTTTGCAAAAAATATTCTTTTTTTTCGATATTTTTGAGATTTTCGAGATAAAAAAGTATTTATATCATAACTTTTTTATCAATCGGTCAAAAATTCTGATTTTTTGTTATGTTGTAGAGCTTTTGATTCTCTATCAAATAATACCAAAAACATGAAAAATTGACCATTTCTTAATGAGTAGGGCTCGTACCATATAGTAGGGCTCGTCCATTTTTTAAATTCCTTAGTTCCAGTTCAGAACTTGTTCCAAGTTTGTTCTAGTTCCAAACTTTTAAATTTTTTTGAATATGAAGATTTAGCCTCATAAGAGGAATGATCCCGATAATAACAAAAATCCGGGATCCCGGAAAATCCCGTCGGGATCCCGTCCCGCGCCGACCTCTAAGTAGAATATTTTACCATTGAAGTTGGATCGGTATCATGGCAGGATAAAATGATTTAATATTATTTGTTCAATTTAATTTCAATAAAATATTTGTTATAAATTTAGTCCGCAATTAGTGCTTACATAAAAAACGCAGCTTTTTGCGGAAGACGCTCGGCGTCAAGACGCCGGCGGAAGACGCTGTTTTGTGCTTACATAAAACTAGCGTTTTGACGCTTTGCGTCTTCCCGCTTAGCGGAAGACGCCGATTTTATGTAAGCACGAAACTGCGTCTTCCGCCGGCGTCTTGTCGCCGAGCGTCTTCCGCCGGCGTCTTGCGTTTTTTATGTAAGCGTAGCATTAGAGATAACCAATTGAATCAACAAATAATGGGGGAATAGGCAGAGGCAATACAACAATATATTATACTACAAGTCTATTTATATAATGAATATATTTTTGTGATTATCCGTACAATACACACATTATGCCTGTTCCGCAAGATTCAAATCGCCTATCGATTCGTAGGAACCGCCAGCCTCTGAAAAACATTAAGTTTAATTTAACATCGATTTTCAAAAATTTAAATGCTTACCATCTGCAGGGACTGGCTTTTCCTCCTTCGGAGCTTCTCCACCAGGCACTGTCTCGTATAGCTGTTGATCACCACCACCACCCTCTGGCGGTCCTAGAAAAAGGAATTTTTATTCAGATAAGTCCTTCTAAACTTGCCTTCATCCCTCCTTGATGTCTCCGTCACTCCCGTTGGCGGAACTTCAACACCATCGATGGGATTCTGAGAAATCCTTTGTGCCGATTTATTTGCTTCGTCGAATGCTGTATTACTCTTACTTGGCTGAGCATCTAAAAATTTTTATTGAAAAAAAAATTTAAAATGAAAACTTGCCATCATTTGTTCCCGATTTCACATCTGTAGCTTTCGACCCACCGGTGGCACTTTTAGCATCGCCAGCCTTTTGTGCAGTTGCAACTCCAGAAGATTGTTTGCTGTCTTTGGATGGAGCACCAGGTCCAACTACCGGAAGAGTCGTTGTCGGCGGCATAGCTATTTGAGCGGTTGCTGTCGTCTTTTTGGCTAACTCCGAACTTGTCGGTTTTCCCTTCACAACGTGGTATGTAACAGGAAGTTTGACATTTTTGGCATCTCCCTTGCCTGCTGCGGCCTTCTTTTTCTGTTAAAGATGTGAATTTTTTAAATAATTAAAAATAGATCTCTTACATCTTCGGGTTTCTTCTGTACTTGTTCTGCAGCTGGTGGTTTTGCTCCGCCGTCCTTCGCCGCTCCGTCCTTTCCCGCCGCATCCTTTCCCGCTGCATCCTTTCCCGCTGCATCCTTTGCTCCTACTTCCTTTGATTTTGATTCCGGTCCTCCACCGCCCTTCTCAGGCTGTTTTGCTGGTGGCTTCTTATTGTCCTTCTTTCCCTTCTTCTTGCAGCACAGGAAAATCAACGGTGTAGTCGTCAGGGCGCAGATGGCGGCAACCAAAAACAGCACACTAAGCGAAGATATCATTAGCGTCTACCGGGGGATGACGAGAATTATTAATGACGAGAGGCACGAATAGAGTAGATTGTTTGTAAGTGCTTTATCTAAATGAGTAAAAATACACGGCTTTTATATTCGGGATTTTCACCATTTGTCAAACTCAAAATCGAGTTTTTCATTTTTTCAGCAATAAAAAATGAAATGACTTGTAAAATCAGAAATATTGCTTGATGATTTGTTGATTACAAAGATTATTTTTGTATCATTTTCAAAAAGTTCTTTCATATTTTCTGTAACTTTATTATTGGGTCACGCAGGCGCGCGTCCATAACGGCGCAAAGCAATAACTTGCTGGAAAATTTCTGGCCCTTGTTAATTTTGGTACCATTCGCTTTAGCTCGATGAGATGAATCGTTTAATACTAAATTTGTTGAGATTCGTAAATCTTGAAGCAAGCTATGGCTTTGCGCCTTTATAGCTGCGCGCCTACTTGGGCTGTACCATTTATTATTAGTCGAGAAATTTAGGGTAGGGGACGATTCAGTATCGCCGATTCAGTATCGCCAATTCAGTATCGCCGATTCAGTATTGGCCGATTCAGTATTTGGCTTTTTTGGCCATAACTTTTTGCTCGATCAATATTGTGGGAATTATTATATATGATTTGATAGGCCTCGGAGTGCTGCATCTTTTTCATAATTGGACTGACCTGATCTTATCACTCTACAAAAAGTTATCACTGATAAACGACGTCACAGGCATAAAGAATCGGTTTTCACGCTGTAACTTTTTTTGAGATCATCAGATCAGATCGGGTCAATTATGAAAAAGATGTCGAATCATGAGACCTTTCGAATGATATGAAAATATTCAAATCGGTCGAATATCAGGAAAGTTATGGCCATATACTGAATCGGCGGATACTGAATCGGCGATACTGAATCGGCTATACTGAATCGGCGATACTGAATCGTCCTTAACCGGAGAAATTTAGCCTTGAGAATATTTTTAATTAAAAATTTTTTCAGATTTATTTTTTCTTAAATTAATTGAGTTTTTATTAAAAATTAAAAAGACAGCCTTTCCTTTAAAAAGATGTTTAATGCTTATTCAATTGAAGAAGTTGTTTCTAAACTTCCACTTGAAGCTAATTCTATATCAAATTATGGTTATATTCATATTCTTTTTAATATTTTTAATTTTTTTAAAGGTGATACATTATTAATTGGTTCAAAACAAGGACATTTAATTTGTTGTTCACAAACTTTTTTATGTAAATTTAACAAAAAAATTTTTTTCAAAATTATAAATAAAATTTAGCGGGTCACAATATTCCCTCTTATGATTATCAAGTTTGCCGTTCTTTCGAAAGACGTCAAATAATTAATTTATCTGTGATAGAATCGTTAGACAAAATTATTTGCCTTACTGATACACATTTGTCAATTCATGAAGCTTTTGCTCCCTACAGGTATTTTAAAAAATTTAATTTAAAATTTTTTAGGAAGCTAGAATTAGAGGGAAGTACTTGGCTTAATTGATAAATATTTTGTGTCCTAATTTTATTTTCTTTCTTCTAAAATCACTCAAAAGTTTTTTTAGTTTCCCAATTTCTTTAAAAATATTTTTTAAATTTTTTGTTATTTTTATCCTTCATTTTAATTTTTAAAAAGGTTAATTAGCAGTATTACAAAATATAAACAAATATTGTGTTTTGCTCATTTAATTGAACAGGTTTATTTTTTATTTTAAAATTATACAGGGTGCGGCAAATTAAGCGCGCGTTTGTTTTTTGCCATAACTTTCTTCAATTTTAATGAAAATTGATAATTCTTTTTTTGTTTTATTCCCAACACGTTAGGAAACTTGCTGATACCAAACATTAAAAATTTGGTTCACTGTTGGCAAAGATAATCGAGTTCGATCGTCTGGAAAATTTAAAAACATTTTTTATGCCAAAGTTTAATTGATCATAACTTCGTTCAAAATCGTTCAATACCAATGATTTTGGTACTAAACGACTCATCTCGTTCAGGAGCATCGAAATAGCTTATAATCTCATTTTTGAAAATTTTACACAAAAATTTTATTTTTATAAAAATTATTTTAATTTATATTCAGAGGACCGTATCTCATTCGAGTTTTGTCGTAGCCCCATGATTTTTATGTCATTCGAATCAGAATGAAGAGCTGATTCGAATGATATAAACAAATCCAATATTAAAATCCCAGCCTTGAATCTAGGCCAATTTTTATCCAAAAAATTCTGCTCAAACTTTGAGGGAAGTTTACTCAGAGTAAACTTAAAATTAAAAAGCAATTTTGGTATCGGCAAGTTTCCTAAAGTGTTGGGAATAAAACAAAAAAAGAATTATCAATTTTCATTAAAATTGAAGAAAGTTATGGCAAAAAATAAACGCGCGCTTAATTTGCCGCACCCTGTATATCAAATTCTTTTTCAGAACATTCTTTATATTTTAATTTCAATTAAAAATCGTCTTATAATTTTCCAACATTTGGAAGAAAAATTAGAAGAAATTGGGTTTATTAATTTTGATGATTCTGCCTTAAGAATTTTATGGTTTTTTAAAAAAAGTTTTAAAAAATTTTTCTTTTAAGGTGTCAATCAAATAGTTTATTTATTTCTACTAAATTAGAACATTATTTTGCTAAATTAACAATTATTCAAACTAACGGGAAAGAGGTTATTTTTTAATTTTGTTTTTTAAATTTTTTAAAAATAATTTAAAGGCCTTCAATCAAATTTCAATTTCTGAATTTCCTCGTTTACTTTTGTCAATCCCTACTCGTTCTTCTGATTTATCCCTTCAAATTTCTGCCTGTTTATTATTTGATAAACAAATTGTTGCTTTAAATAAAGATGAAAAAAGTTTAGAATTTTTTGATTTGGAAAGTGGGGGACAGACAAAATTAATTGAAAATGAAGAAAATTGTTGTCAATTTACTGAGGGAATTGTTGATTTTGGTAAGGGATTTATACGATTATAAGTTAGAAATAATAAGTGAATATGTTAATAATTTTGGAATATTTTATTAAAAGTTTGAAATTTTTGTTGATTTTAAGAGTATATCCAGGGCTTCGATCTCAAATTTTCAAAAATCCGCATTTTATATCAAAAAGATGCAAAAAATTATCAAACACAAAAATCGAATTAAAATCACTATTAAATTTAAAATCACCTCATCGACCTATCAAAAACCCACAAAATGAGGAAAAATCCGCAAAAATAGTAGCCCTGTTATCATCTCTAATTTATTTTAAGAAAAAAATAAAAAAATTCTTATATTTTTTTCTAATGTTTTTCTTCTAGTTTATGATTCACCATATATTTTGGCAATTTTATGTACTAATTGTATTGAAATACGTTTAATAACTCCTTCAATTTTTATTCAAAAAATTAATTTAAATAAAGTTTTTATGTTAAATATTGGAAGAAGGTTTGAAAAATTTTTTTTTATTTTTAAAATAATTTTTAGAGGTTCAATTTATGCAGCAAATGATACACAAGCTTGGAAATTAAATACACAAAATAAACTTAGGGATAATTTAAAATTTTTAAATTTAAATGGACACCACGAAATTGCTTTACAAATTGCTGTAAATTTAAAGTAAAAATTTTTTGAAAATTTTATTTTAGAATGTTTATTCTGATGTTGTAGATGAAAAAGAAATTGTTAATTTAAAAAAGTCAATTGCAGCTAAATCTTTTTTGGAGAGAAAATTTTCTAAATGTTTTGATATACATGCTGAATTAAAAACTGGTATATTTTTACAGCTAAAACACATTAAAAAATTTTTTTCTAGATCTTCTATTTATTATTAATTTATTTCCAAAATTTCTTCCTGAAAAATATTCTTGTTCAACCGAAAAATTTATTAATGAAATTAAATTGTATGGAATTTCAAATGAAGAAAATTCTTTGGATGAAGAAGAAATTCATAAAAAAGCAGTTGATGCCCTTATTAAATTCATTTCAATGGTATTTTTTAGATTCAAATTTTAATATTTTTTTAAATTAAAAAGAAAAGACAAGAACATTCAAAGCCAATTAATTTACATTTTTTGGATTACAAAGAAGAAAGAAAAGAAAATATTCTTTCAACAAATTCATTAAAACGACATGAAGTAGCGTTGGAATTAATTGATACTGTTCTGTTAAAGGCTTATTTAATGGTTTTTTAAAAGGAGTTTTCTTTTTGAAAAATAATTTTAAAAATTTAGATAAATCCAAAACTTATCGGTCCATTATTGAGACTTAAAAATTGTTGTTGTATTATTTCTGAAGCTGAAAAAGATTTGAAAAAAGCTGGATTGTTTGAGGAATTGCTAATTTTATATGAAAGGAAGAAAATGTTTAGAAAATGTTTTTTTTGGATTTTTAAAAATTTAAAAAAAAATTTAAGATCTCGAATATTTTCAAAGAGAAGTTAAAAAACCTGAAGCAGCTACACATGCCCATGGAATTGAAAAAATAGCTACTTTCTTAATGAAATTAAAATCTGAACAACTTTCTTTAATTTTAGAATTTTCTCCAATTGTTTTGGCTGAAGATATTGAATTGGGTGTTAAGGTATTTTTAATTAAATTTTAAGTAAATATATTTTTTTAAAGATTTTTACGGGTATTGATTCTTCCGTAGATGCAAAAAATTTTGATAGAGATTCTGTTTTACAATTTTTGAAGCGACAATTTCCTGCTGCTGTTATTCCTTATTTGGTATTTAAAAAATTTTTTTTTAATTTTTGAACAATTTTAAATTAAAAAAGTAAATCTATTTCGAACAAAATTTCTCTATAATTTGTACTTTTATTTTAAACAATTTCTTCCCTAATTTTTTTATATTTCCAAAATAATTATTTTTTGAATATTTTGCTGAATTATCTTAACATATAGAAAATATTTTATTTAAAGGAACATATAATTTACGAATGGGAAGATAAAAGGCCAAAATTTCATGAAGAACTTGTACTTCAATATATTACTAGAATTAAATCTCTTTTATCTCAATTTGTTAAATTACCCGTAAATAATCAATTTATGCGTTCATTATCTTCAAATGATGAAAATATTGATAATAATGAATTGGTAATTTTAAGAAGAAAACTTAGAGCATTTTTGGAGACTGATAAATATTATACAGTGAAGGATACGTTGAAGTTAATTGAAAAAGATGAAGGTTCGAGAAATTTCTTGAAAATTTTTTTAGAGATTTTTAATTAAAAAAAATTTTTTTTAAAGTTTTGGCCGATGAACAGGCAATCCTTTATGGTCGGCTAGGTCAACATAAAGAAGCCCTTTCAATTTATACAAATAAATTAGTTGATTTTGCTGCAGCAGAGAGACATTGTTTAATTTATTATAACGAAAACGATTTAAATAATTCTCAAGTAATTTTTAATTTTAGAAAAATTTTTTTTAATTTTTTATAGATTTTTTACAATTTATTTTGTTCTTATGTTTCTGGTGGAGATGAAATTAATAGAAAAAAATCGAAAGAAAATGGAGAAAAACAAATTGTATCAGTAGAACATTCTCCACAGAAAAGGCCAAATATAACAGAAGCTTTGAAATTGTTGAGGAGACACGCAAATAAAATAAATATTGGTTTGTTTTTGGAATGTTTTTTAAGGTAGAACTGAGGTTTTTTTGGTATTTTTTATTTCGATATTTTTGGCATTTTGATTTTTTAACTTTTGTACTTCTCCCAGTTTTTTTTAAATTATTTTTAAAAATCATAAAAAATTCTAATTATTTTTTAGTTAAAGCCTTTGCATTAATTCCATCAGAAACACCATTATTAAGGATAGATATAGCGTTAAAGGCTGTTTTTGAAACACTTTGTACTCGACTAACTATGGTTTTTTAAAATTTTATTTAAATAAAAATTATTTTAAAGGTAAATTTATTAATGGCATTAACACAAATTGCAATAAATAGAACGGAAATAAATTTTAAATTATTGAAACAACAGCGTATAAATATTAATGAAAGTGTTGTTTGTTTTATGTGCAAAAAAAGAATTATGGAAAGGTTTTTTTGAATTATTTAATTAAATTAATTTTTAGTGCCTTTGTCCGTCATCGTTTTGACTCAATTTCTCATTTCTTTTGTCATCGCCAAAATATTGAAAGAATTCAGAAAAAGATTAATGCATTTAATGAGCATTCTTAAAAATTATAATTTTACTAAAAATATTTTTATAAAATAAATATTTAATTTTTAAAAAAATATTTTAAAAATATTTTTAAAATAAATAAATAATATTTAAACAAAGTTAATTTACGAATTATTAAAATTATTGAGAAAAATATGGAGGAAGAAGAGGATACAAATTCTTTTTTGGGACATCCAGATGGTTTTATAACCCAAACTTCTATTGAACAAGTAAAAATAAATTTAAAAATATTTTTTTATTTTAATTTATTTTTTAGATAAAATTAGAAAATATAATTAAATCTATTAGGGCAACAACAACAAAAGATGATTTAAATAATTTTAAACTTCATCGTCAACAACATATTAATTTTATTTTGGGGTTATTAAATAATTTACCTGGAGGATATTCTGTAAAGAAAATTATTTTTTATTTTTTAAATATTTTTTAAAAAGGAATTAAGTTCAAGTAGAGCCTGGTTATGTTTTTGGGGTGTTCATAGTTTACGTTTACTTGGTGGACATTTAAAAGAAGAATTGGCTAATAGGTTTTTAAAAATATTTTTTAATTAAAATTTATGTAAAAAAAGAATTGTTTCTGTGCTTAATTTGTGTAAATCTTCTGGTGGATATGCTGGGGCCCCCGGACATTGTCCACATATTGTTACTACTTATGCTGCAGTAAATGTTTTAAAATTAAATTGTGATTAAAATATTTATAAAGGTAATGACGTTAGTTGAAATTGGAACTGAGGAAGCTTTAAATTCAATTGAACGGGACAAATTAAAAGAATTTATTTCATCAATGAAACAGTCCAATGGAAGTTTTTGTGTTCATGAAGATGGAGAGATTGATGTTAGGTAAATACTATTTTTTAAATAAAAATTTAATTATTTTTAAAGAGCAGTTTATTGTGCTTTTACTGTTTCTTATTTGTGTAATTTGCCTAATTTGGAAGAATTATTTGAAGGATCGTCTGCATGGTTAACACGTTGTCAAGTAATTTTTGTGGAATTAAAAAATAATTTTTTTAATTATTTAAAGACCTATGAAGGCGGTTTTGGTGGAGAGCCTGGTTGTGAGTCACACGGGGGTTATACTTTTTGTGCTCTAGCTACATTTGCTTTAATGCAAAAAATGTATTTAATTGACACACAATCAGCTTTACGTTGGCTTGTTTTTAGACAAATGAAGTTGGAAGGGGGATTTCAAGTAAATATTTTAGACAAAATAATTTTTTTAAAAATTTTCTAGGGCCGGACAAATAAATTAGTGGATGTTTGTTATTCTTATTGGTTATCAGCTTGTTTTTGTGCTATTGAAAATGAAATATTTAATAGAGGAAATTCAATAGAGGAAGATAAATGTCTTTTTAATGTTGTTGATTTACAAAAATATATTTTGGAAATTTCACAAAATAATTGTGGAGGGTTTAGAGATAAACCTGAAAAGTATTGAATTTAAAGAAATTAAATATATTTTTTAATTTAAATATAGACAAGTTGATTTATATCATACTTGTTATGCACTTTCTGGCCTTTCAATAGCCCAATCTTTTGCTAAAACAAATGAAGAAATAATTGGGGGAGAAAATAATTTATTGGTTAATTTAATTAAAATAATATACAAATTTTAATTTTAAGGAGCCAATACATCCATTATTGAATGTAACAAAAAATGCTTATGAAAAGGCTTTTGATTATTTTGATAAGTTAAAATAATTATTTTTTTTGTGTTTATTTTTTAATTTTAAATAAAAAATAAATTTATTTTTAATTTTAAAATCCCTTAAAATTTTAGGTGGAATTTGTTTGATTTTTATAAAACAAAATTAAGTAGCTCATTACAAGTTTTATCGATTTTATCAAAAACTTTATTCTTTTGTAAGGCTTTTTATAAGATTTCTAGAGCTTTATCTCACTTCCAGTCATTTTTGTGTTTACCAAAGACTGAACTTGAGAACTTTTTTTTACTTTATTTATTCATCTTCATAGTATATTAATGTGTAAACATTTAGTAAAGCTGTGTTGATAAGTAAAGATGATTTTGATTTTCTCTAAATCCTTCCTCATCTTTTCGCAAGAATTATTTCCTTTAAATCACTGTCTAACATACTAAATATTATTTGTTTCCGGATTGTTTCCGGAAAAGTAATTTTACGTAGATAATATTCAAGTGTTTATATTTTCAACATAAATGAATGGGCATAGTTATGGCCGTGGAATTGGCTCCTCCTCTTTATCTTCTCGACAGTTTGCCAATTATTATTCTTTCAAGAGGAAAGGAGAACCTGGAAGAGGAGAATATACACAAAGTTTTAACCGGTCTTTTAACATTAAATAATATCCATTATTTAAATAACCCCCCTTCCTCTTTTTAAGAAGTACCAAAAATATGTTTTGGAATGATAAAGATTTGTAAGTACATTTATATTCTCTAATTTAAAAATATATATTAAGCAATCCAACGCAACAATATCCTTCACAATTACTAATTTCCCCAAGTTCATCATCATTAAGGCATCGACAAACTTTTAGTAATTTAATACCAAATCAACCGCTTACAAAAGTAAAAGAAAAAAATATTTTTTTTAATTTAAAAAATATTTACTATTTAATAGCAAGTCGATCAATTACTTTATGAAATTCCTGATTTTAAATTTACAAAAAATTCTTTGTTTCAACCACCAGAATTTCTCAAAGTTTTTTCTGATATTCGTTGCATTGAAGGTTCTACAGCAATTTTTGACTGTATGATATTAGGATCGCCTAGACCAAAAGTTTTTTCAGAAAAAATTATTTTTAATTTTTATTTAAAAAAGGTTTGTTGGTTATTTAATGATGAAAAGTTGACTTTTGATGATGTAATTTTGGAAGACACTTCTGGTAATAATTAAATTAAAAAATTTAATAACGGATACGGTATAAAACGGATACGGATATTAACTCCACGGACATATCCGAAAACGGATAGAAAAATCCTTGACATCGTGCAGGTCTGGGAATATTTTCAAAATTAGCTGAAGAACCTAATATATTGAGTAAAATTCTCTATATTATTTATTCGTTTTTATTTTTAAAAGTTTCCTTTATACAAGTTAATTTTGAAAGATTTTTTTAACAATTTAGATATATGTAGATGCACAATTAAATATGTCTGTAATCATCATTATGGTTATTTAAATTTAAAAAATAATAATTTTAAAATAATTTAAAGGCTCATATACTGTATTGGTTGAAAATGAAGCAGGAAGAGCAATAACAACAGCTATGCTTTTGCCTATTAAATAAATTTTGATTAGTCTTAAAAACATATTTTTAATTCTTTTTTAAAAATAAATCTTTTTTTATTAGTTTAATAAATAGGTAATTTAATCATTATTTAAAATAATTATCAATTATTTTGGATGGAATGGTTTACTCCTTATTGAGTCACTAGCCTTAATTTAATCCTTAAATCTCGACTATAAAAGCCAACAGATTTTTGCTATTCACAACCACACCCAATTAACTCACGCTGCTTGCATTGGCGCTGTCTCTAACCTGCTTGGCTCTTGGCACACTTGGCTTTCCTCGTCACGACGTTATCTTCCAAGGTACGGTTTAGTTTTTTAGTTTATTTTGGTCGTTCATCTTCATCAATTACTTTTTTGCTTTTTAGTCATCTGTATACCTTCCTGCGCTTATCTCATTTCCGGAGCTCTCAACAGATTCTTCAGGAATGCCGCCGCAGCTCGTCGAGTTGTCGCCAGGGATGAAAGTTGCAGAGAAATGGACGATCATCAAAAAGCTTGGTGCCGGTGCATTCGGAGCTGTCTACCACTGCAAATTCGGCTTGAGGGAAGGGGCTCTCAAAACTGAGCCAGTCGATGCGTCAATGCCGCTACTAGCAATGGAGGCCCATGTTCTTCAAGAACTGCATCGCATAAAGGACGACCGTCACTTCACTAAGTGCTTCGACATCGGCAGGGACAGCCAGACCATTGGACCTGCTGGAAAGGTGTCCTTCAACTATATCGTGTAAGAATTTTGGATTACATACACGGGTAGAACGGGGTTTTTTAGGGAGCAGTAAATTAAGCAGTAACTTACCTTTTTTTTTAGGATGTCGCTGGTTGGCCCAGGACTGGACAAACTCGTCAAAGCTCGGCCTGGTCGACGCTTCTCTCCTGGTACGGCGATCGGCGTCTCAATTCAGATGGTCAACGCGCTACGGGCTCTTCACGGCATTGGATATCTCCACCGGGATATCAAGCCGGCAAACACGACTACCGGACGGAAGGAAGAGGGAGAACAGCAGATAATCTACGTGCTTGATTTTGGGATCGCGAGAAAGTTCATGCACTCAGATGGGTCGTTGATGCGTCCAAGGGAGTCTGCACGTTTCCGAGGTACTCCACGTTATGCGGCTACATCAGCACACATCAAAAGAGAATACGCACGTAAGGATGACATGGAATCCTGGTAAGTCTCTGATAGA